CATTCCACCAAAACTCTTTTTTACCCTACCCTACATGGCCGAACCTGAATGCTTCACTATGTAAGTAAACCACTCTGTGTTGTTGAGTATACTTGCAGCATCTCACCTTGATTAGCCAAAAGAATCTGATATATTGTCATACTTCAGGAAAAGGAGACTTGTGTCCAGACTTTTTTGTGCTTGCTGTTGGACTGTATGTTGCTTTGTAGAGCTGTGATGCCGACACTTCATTGGAAGTGATCTGATGAATTGAAAAATGCATGTATTGCACATCTTGCCACATTTTAGTTTGCCAGTAAGACATCTATGACGGAAACATCAGCTGAAAACAATCAGTTCACATTAATAGTGAAATAAATAAATAAATAAATTAGCTAGTTTGTTAACTACATGTAGTGTGGAAGGCTTAAACACTGTGATGACAAGTTTACATTGCCAAGAAGTTGCATTCCCAGGCAGTGTTGTGTACGTGCCTCAGCAGATTAAACGATCAGTGCTCAGAAATCACGCAAGCTGGAGCAATCAAACTCGACAAGGCCAAAACAACACTTTTCTTCATGAACAGCTGACTTGACTTCACAGCCAAACAGTTCTGCTACACTGAGCTAAAAACTGCATTTCCTTTGGTAGCCTGTGGCGTTCTAAGGCCATGTTCTTGCATCTGACTGCCTTAAAATAGACCATATTATGAAAACTCAAGTGTCACTTTTTTTTAAAAGGAATACTTTGTAAAACAGTCCATTTTTAACCCCTTAGCATTCCAGGTTTACTGCAGATTATGGCTTATTATTCTTTAATTATAACAACTTTAATGCAAGCTGATGGAGCTTTTCTTAGGTTATGGAAGTGTGGGGTTAATCCATTGTTTTTGTGATGTCACAAAATCCAACGCCCATAGCTCTGCCCATTTATGTAGATGTTAAAAGGAGATGATCATCCTGTACTGCTTTTTGAATGTAGCACAATACAGGGCAGCCAATTGGAATAGAGGCCATTTACATTTATAAGTCTTAAAGGCAAACCAACAAAAACAACATTTTTACCCCTTGTGTGGTGTTCAGGTCTGTGGGACCCATTTTCAGTGTTTACCTAAAGAAAAAATGATGTGATTTATTATTATTTCAACCTCAGATTCTTGGTCTTTGATCATTTTCTGTGAAGAACATATAAAATAACCCATTTTCAGTGTCTTCACTCTGTTCACCCCCCACACATTTATATTACACATGTGGTGTTGGGTGAACCTGCGGGGAGTAAAAGTGTGGAGGTGCTGTGTCCTTCACTCTGTTCTCCTCGTATATGGCCTGCTGTTAGTGTGTGTGTGTGTGTGTGCGTGTGTGTGTGTGTGTGTGAGGGTGGACAACATGGACAGGATGCTGACTGGCTACAGCTGCTAAAGGAGAACCCTACGCTGGACACTTGTGATATTTTAAGCATCTGGTATTTTTACCTAAATTATTATGGCTGTATTGACTTAAAAACAAGGTGGGTCACCAGACCACTGAGTAACAAACACATCAACACCACACAAGGGTTAATTGTAAGGAGAGGAAACTTTCGACTGCTTTTGGTACATAAAACCAATCAAATGTCATAAATGAACCCATATATTAGAAGTACTGCCCTTTAAAAATGAGCTGACTGCTTCTTTCCTTCACATGGTTATGAAATCCTTAGAGCCCTATTTTCAGTAAGACAAACTCTTGGCTGGTGCAGCTGCTTTTAACTGCTGGCTCCATGAAGGCCCATATTAGCCAAACAGCTAAAATCTGCTTAAAACTCAAACCTGCTACAACAGCATTTCACTTCGGGTAAATCCCTCAGAGTCAAACCATGATAAAGCAGACTGATACTCATAATGTGCCAGTGGGAGGTTGTGATTAATGATGTGTTACTATGTGAAGATCAGAAAGTTCACAATCTCTTCTAAGTCATGCACAGACGGCTGTCTATAGGAATAAACCTCGCATTGCTAGCTGAATGCAATGACTTACAGGCTCTACTCTGAAGGGTTCACTTGGACTCCAAGCATTCACAGCATGAGAGTTGAAGTTTTACAAACAGCTCTACCGTGAGACCATAGCTCTTGACAATCTGCACCCCTCTGTGGATAAATTTGGCGGCTAATTGAAAATGGCATGGCCTTCTACCTCTTTTGCTTAGTATGAATTTGAATTAATAGTAAAGTGCTGTCCAGTGTTCAGAATGCTAATGAGTCATTCTATGGAAACATCCATTTTTGTGTCCCCAGTGTTTACAGATGTATTACACTTGAAAAACATGTTAGGGTAACAATTTATTTATATTTTAAAATCAATGTTATTTTAACAATTACACCTTCTTGAGCATCAATTTAGCAATATTTTTAAATCAATCATATAGAATTCCAAGCACCACAGAAGAGCTCGTCCTCACAGTCATGTGTAAAGGATGAGGCCATTTTTTGAGGTAAAAACATTTTTCTGCAATTTTGACTGCAATAATCTATACATGACTACGAAATATATGATTTAAATGACATAAAGAAAACAAATGCCAAATAAATATTATAAAACATATAATGAAAGCACTTGTCACTTGTCTTCCTTTTACCTGTTTTCTGAAGATCTATGAAGAAAAGCACATGGTAAGTCCACTGTGTCTTTTCGGTTATATGAAGCTTTTAGCTGAAGTCACTGGAGTGACCGACTTTATTCTCAGGTAATCGTGAAAAAATAGAATACAAGTGGATTAAATTACATATTTTAGTGGATATTTCATGATTGACAACATGTGGTTTGATGAATAACCTTAAACCTAAAAAAAGCCTTAACCTAAAAAACATCTGTTCAGATACTGAATATCCAGCTTGGAACTCAGAGTCAATACAGTTAAAGTGTAGAAATTTGTCTTACAGTGCATAAAACAAGTTACTTGTGACTATTATATATATTTGAATGAGGCCTAATCTTCATCTTAGTCTGCTTTTAGCTAAAATCCTGTCACAACTTCAGCAGTTGTCGATTGACATTGCCACTTCTATCACAGTACATTATGAAGTTGGAGACATGATGACACAGTAATAATGAAGAATAAATGCAAAATACTTTTGCCTTACAATGTATAAAACAAGTTACTCGTGACCAGCAGTTTATAAGACCCTTTGGCCTGTTTCATCACAGCAAGGCAGCTACATATGCACTGTGTAACAGTGCCACCAAGTGGCATGCATCGTAATTACACAACTCGGCTCCAGCTGCTTATAGAACAGAGAGGGTGGTAAAATAAATCACTGCCATATCATGCAGACATAATTAAATTCATCCTAAAGCTTTTAGATCTCCTGAGGCAGGCGGCAGGTGCAGGATCTGTGCCTTGGCAAACAGGTTTAAGCCTTGTGTCAAAGGCCATCGCTCTGTAAAGCTGCATTCATGAGCGGATCATCATATTCACACAAAGTTAAATATACTTGTCTATAAGCCCTTCCAACTACATCCTAAAAACAACATTAGTCCAGATTATCCTTATTTTAACCAGCTGCTCGGCTTGCGGCAAGTGGAACTCTGACTTCATTAAAATTTGGCTTCAGCGGCGCAGCCTAATTAGAGTTAAACTGCCTCATACATCATTGGAAACCTCATTTAGCTGATGAACGGCGTATGAGCACAGCAGCACTTTTAGCTGAGCTCATGCTCGAGCTGTGGGCTGAAGAGGGACAATGGAACCACGAGCCATTCACCTCTGCAAACTAACAGAGGTGAGAAAAATCAATAGAGACAAATAAACCCCACGGCCAGGACTTTGGAGTCTACTCTCAGTCAACGTCAAGTACTTTCCCTGCCAAGATTAAGGAGAAAGCACCATGTACTTGACATGATTAAATCAAAGGAGACAAAAGAAAGAGCAGCAGAGGTCGAATGAGGCCTTAACGCTTCACTAATGCACACCTTTAGTTGAGAAGATGGGAAGAATCAAGTACAGCAAGAGTCTCCGATGAGAAATGTAGTTGCTTTAATGGCTGAAATGCAACAGTGCACTGCTTTCTACAAAAGAAGTTGTTTCGTTACATTGTGCTGGAATTTTATTGCTGTAATTCCCATGACATTTCATTTTATTGAACGATTACTGATGCTTAGGAAAAGTGAGTTTCTTATTTTGCTGAGTTGTTCTTATGTGAGTTGAGTGCGTTGATGTGAACCTTTCCTTGCAGAAGCTTATCATAGTATAGCAGTCATTTAAAATAGCTTATTTTCAGTACAAACTGTGCCTCTTCTTTCTGCACGAACAACAAATAAATCCACCTTTTTCAGACCATAGATACTTCTCATAACCATATAAATTATTACACAATAACTTAATATAAATTACTTGGCATTTCCCCTAGACATACTGTGTGCAATGCATGAATTCAACTGAATATATATATCTGATAAGATGACAAGAAAACTCTGAAACAGTCAGATATTCATATCCTAAGGAGCGAATGCACAATTCATCACAATACGTCTTGCACGAACTGCAGGCACAAAAAACAGCTGACACAAGGAGTAACACGATTAGGCTACCGCAACTGTGTACCTGTTCTGGCTATAAACCTCACTTTGTGAGAAAAACACCAAAATGCCACTTTGCAGAAAGAATACTCGAGACTAACCGAGAGATTCAAGAGCAACCTGACAATATTTTGTGAATAGCTACAAAAATACCCTGCAAATGTCTCTTAAGACACAGAATCCACTTAGAAATGTTGTGAGGTATAGACCGATCAGGCATAACATAATGACCACCTCCTTGTTTCTACGCACCCTGTCCACTCAGACCAGCGCAACACACACTAACACACCACTTCGGTGTTACTGCATTGCTGAGAATGATCCACCACCCAAATAGTACCTGCTCTGTGAGGGTCCATGAGGGTCCTGACCACTGGAGAACAGGGTAAAAGGGGGCTAACAAAGCATGCAGAGAAACAGATGGACTACAGTCTGTAACTGTAGAACTACAAAGTGCACCTATATAGTAAGTGGAGTTGATAAAATGGACAATGAGCGTAGAAACAAGCAGGTGGTCGTAATGTTATGCCTGATGGGTGTACGTACACCTCTTCTAAAATCGCTCATGCTTTTACTTTGTCTACATCTACAGTATTTGTTAAGCTCCTACATGGTAAGACTTCAGGAGTGGATTGTCTTTGCTATATGTTTGTGTTGTAAAGCGCGACGATGAGAGCTAACATTTGGCACAAAAAACACTGTCCAAAGAAGACTTTGTGCTTTTTTTGTTTAACAGGTAGAACAGAAGCCTATTGGACGATGGCATTATCTTCCTATTAACAAGAGTAGCATCTCTAACACTCTAAAAGAGGTGAGTTTAACTCATTGAAGGCAACTTTTCTTAGGCTACAGACATGCATGGCTAAAGAATCTCCTCCTCCTTCACGTAAAGAATCTCATGGGCCGAGCTTGGGATTTGATTGACACCTCCAACCACCAATAGGCGGTCACGGATCACAATGGTGGAGGCGGAACAGCGGGGAGTCGCCATCGGGGCCAGGTTCTCCCACTTCCTCTTTTCAGGATGGAAGGCCTCAACGGTGTCCAGGACTGAGGGCTGATGACCTATAAGAGCAGACAGGTAAAAGATTATATAGGTATAATAGTATAGTATAGTTTATTGTTCAAAAGTCAAAAACCACCTTTCCTTTATTTCATTTCCAGGCAAAATGGGCTTTAAGCACAACATGCTCATTTTTCAGCGTCTTTTTTAGCCCTTGTGTGGTGTTGGGGTCTCTGGGACTCATTTTCAACATTTATCTGAAGAGAAAATGATGTGATTTATTATTATTTCAACCTCAGATTCTTGGTCTTTGCTCATTTTCTGTGAAGAACATATAAAATAACCCATTTTCAGTGTCTTCACTCTGTTCACCCCCCACACATTTATATTACACATGTGGTGTTGGGTGAACCTGCGGGGAATAAAAGTGTGGAGGTGCTGTGGCCTTCACTCTGTTCTCCTCCTACATGGCCTGCTGTTAGTGTGTTTGTGTGTGTGTATGTGAGGATGGACAACATGGACAGGCTGCTGACTGGCTACAGCTGCTAAAGGAGAACCCTATGCTGGACACTTGTGATATTTTAAACATCTGGTATTTTTACATAAATTGTTGTGGCTGCATTGATTTAAACAACAATAATGTGGTGGGTCCACCAGACCACTGAGTAACAAACACATCAACACCACACAAGCGTTAACAGAAAATTATATGGAGGCCTCAACAACTAAATATAACATAATGTTTAGTACTTAGTTTGTCTACCATTTGACTATTACAGCTTCCATTCTTTTTTAGGAGACTGCATTTTTCCACACTGCCAAAGTTCAGTTTATGAAGTTGGTTGTATTTTCTGCTTCACAATCCAAGGTAATTCCAAACACATTCAGTGATGTTGAGGTCTGGACTCTGGGGTGGTCAGTCCATTGTTTTGAGAACAACTGCAGCTTATATGTTTGATTTGCAAATGTTCTTCTTCTTTGTCTATTTCTTTTTCTCGATAACAGCTTCTTGACAGCTTCACATCCTTTCAGACCCATTACGTTAGGATGTCCTCTCAGCAAAGAAGGACATCCTGTGGATTTGTTTCAGATCTGAAGCAAGAGTAGAGCTTTACTTTGTTATCTCTTTAAGATGAAAGCTTTTCTGATGGTGAGTTTTGGTGGTTTACCAGGTCTTGCAGAGTCCCATTTTCTCTATATCTTTAAATCATTCTTTTGAACTCCAGTTTTGGAAACTCGTGTTTTTTCATTTTTTGCAAGTGGATTATCTTATATCCAATCTCCTTAGAAATAGCTCCTGAAAAATGAATATTTTAAAAATATTTAATGGCCATTTTGACTGGAAATAAAATAAATGATATTTCCCACAAAAACAGTGTAGTAGAGTGGATGATTATGGCAAACATAACACTGCAACCTCTTCAGTACACAATACGTATCATGATATTTTATTTTGCTAAGTGGGGCAGACACACTGCACCAACGGTGGAATTCATCAATATAATAAAAATGTAAAAATAAATAATTGGTAAAAAGTGTCCTAACAGGCGAACGTTCAGTTGGCTTATTTTGATGGTGTAAAACAATATGCCATTACAGCAGGGGTAGGGAACTGAGGAATCCAGCACAGCTTGATGATTTCTCTGTTCTAGCACACATGCTAAACCTGGTAATTAGCTGATAAGTTAAATCAGGTGTGCTTGAGTTGGAAAATGACCAAACTGGCCCTCCAGGAGTTCCCCACGCTTGGTTTACAGGCTCTCAACAGTTGGTCCAAATTTCTGTTTTTTTAAAAGCATGCAATTAGCCAGTGTTCTGGAACTACTGATGATACCTTGAAATAGAAAAAAAATGGTGACATAAATTTACTGCAGTATTGCTATATTGCCTACTAAAAGTCTTTGGAAGCATGACATACCCAGTCCTCCAGCCACAACCATCCTCCCTCGTACTATGGCTGCTGCAAAGTCTGCTCGTTTGGTTTTCATGGACACAGTGTCTTCAGACCTCATCCATGATCCTGCAGAAAAGATTACAATGTCTCTTTACTCTAAAAACATAACTTTATTAAATATAAGCCTACCTTTCCTTTTGGCAATAAAAAAAAATAACAGATCTGATTAATAAAAACTGTCCAAAATATGTTGTAGGATATGTGTTGTGAATAAAAATATGCGTCTTTGGATCACAGACAAGACTCCTGTCTGGGAGGCGTCTGAAAATTAGAGTCTGTTTACTTCTCGATTAGAGCTGACAGAATGGATTCCATTTGCGGGGAGCGCTAATAGCTTAGCTGATGCCCACAATAATGACTATAAAGACAATTTTGCAGAAAAGCACTGAGTCAGAACACTTTAATTGCATTGAGGAGGAAGAGCTGAGCTCCTCTGCCCTCTGCGTGTCACAGATGTAGAACATTAATTTGGCATATTATTTACACTTCCCATTCTATTTGACTGCCAAAAAGCAGCCCTGCAAGCCAAAAGCCAATGAAACAGCTACAGAGCAGTGATGATTGCTTGAAAGATGCCAGAGCCCGAAGCCATTTGGGTCCGCTTTTTAGGCTTCTTAGTCTATAATGCCGTAACAACTTTTTTGCTGCATCCTGGCATACCGCAGCTGTAGTAGAGCAATCCCAGCCCTAATGATTTCCCCAAGCCTGTTGTTCATCTGAAGAGTGCTAAAGCCAATCTTTGCTCTTCAGGATGGTAACTTGACTGTAGCCAGTGTTCCCTTTTTGCTTTTTGAGTAAATTAATCAGTTTGGCTTGGTTGGTTGCGTCTCGGCTGCGGTGCCTGACTTGACAGAAAGGAGGAGCGTGGCAACTTTGGATGCAATATTGATCGTAGGTCTTGGCAAGCTGGACTCACTATGTGGTTGGCCAATATCCTGTGGCTTTTGTTTTGCGAGGCGGTAATGGCATACTTAATTCCTGTAAAATCAACCCAATAACCAGATGTACATTACAAACTGCTGGAGAAACTGTATTACATTGCTTGCTCAATACTGCACAGCACTATCTGCTAATACATCGCACTGCTCTATTCGCCCACAGCTTAATTAGTAGATATATGGTATTAAAATGGGCTTTGTAATAAAGAACACATCCATCTTGCTTACAGAGTGTGATTTTCCTGAGATCCTACTATCTCCACGCCAGGCTGCGTGAAGACGGCTGAACAGATGGACTCGATCGGGATGAGCTAAAAAGAGCTACAGCTCTGTGAATAAGGGATAGCAATCTGGTTCTGAATAGCATTGCTGAAACGCCCTCCTGCCGTCTCCGCAATGCAGACCCAGATAGTATCGGCTGGTTATATTAGATTGGGAGAGTTGTGCGAAGGGGGTTTTTATTGCCGCCGGCGGTTCCAGGCCGAGGGAAATTAGATATCAGGGTTTAATCTCCCAGACTCCCTCTGCGTGCGCCTCCAACACCTGTTGAGTGACACACGCTGTGGTAATGGAATAATTAAAAAAAGATAAATGATTTATTACTGTAGTGTGTGCAAAGAGCAGAAGGTTTGAAAATGACCCGCCCCCCCACCAAAGATAGTAGGTTTATTTTTTTTTTTTGCGATACCTTCAGGGCTTCGAAAAAAAAGGTTTATGTGCAATTTTCTTGCTTGGTGAGCCTGATTAGAAATGATCGTATTTGAACGGAAACGGTAGAGGAGAAAACCGAGAGGCAAGTACCTGCAGAGAAATCAATAACTCATTTCAGTAGGCCTTACATTTTGTCACACCTTGTTTCTTCCCATCATCTTTTTTTCTATTTTGAGTTAATCTGAATCGAAATTGAATAGAAAAGGGCAGAGTTATCTCTGAATGCTAATAAAGATGTGCAGTAGTTGTGCAGTCTCTCAGCCACGTGAATTATTAGATTTCTAGAGCTCTTCAAAAAGTTGAAGACAAGAGAAAAGCTAGTTGTTGGGGCTTAACGATACACGTTTTTGAATGATGGATACGTGTGAGGTCAAGTTTGATCCAATTTTTGGTATTTTTTGGGTTAAAATATTCTATAACACACATTGGTTTGACTTAGAAAAGAACACAATTTATTTAAAAACAAAAGACTGCAAAGACGTATGAAGTAAACACTTTACTAAAGGTAGCATTCATAAGTCTACATGACTCCTACATGCGCTCTTTATGACAACAGGCGTAAACCTACATAAACATTTATAAAGGCTTATTCCAACAAGCGCAAGTTGTGTTAAGGCTGCTTTTGTTATGACAACTTGTCTTTCTAAATGTCTATATGGATCATTTTACCGAATTGGTTCAAAGTCAGTGCTGAACCCACATTTAACCGACTTGGATTTAAACTAAAATCCTTTTGCTTTTTGCTTTGCTAATTAAGTTTAATGTATTCAAATTAATAATTGAACTCTGAAATGCAGGGGTGTGGCTAAAATAAAGCTCCGCCTATTAACTAACTCTGTTTTGGTAGTGACATGAAAAAGTGGGACAGCTTTTTTGGAATAAAGCTTTTTTTTTTTTTTGATTAAACTCATGATAAATCTACATCTTTCAACTTCACTTCAAAAGAAACCAAAAATATCTTAAAAAATCAAACAATAATAAAAAAAAAAAAATTATTTTTACAAGTTGAAATTTTTTGGGTCTCCCAATAAAAAGTACCCTATAAAAGATGATTTTGTAAATATCTTTTGTAAATATAATCTTTTTACATATCTAAGGTCTGAATACTCATTTGCTTTTTTAAATAGTTTTACTGTGTAAGTTATTCAGTAGAGTGTTCTGTATAGGTTTATGTCAGCTGCCATAAAAGGCAAATGTAGGTGTTGTGCAGCCTTATGAACGCTGCTCATGAGTAGTACTAAGTGTTTTCTGTCCTTTTTGATTATTGACATTGGAAGAACCCAAAGTGTGTTTATTTGACTTTTCAATACTGTATTAAAATCCTAACACCCTTTACTTGGTGTCCAGTATAATACCTTGGTTGGGGTCGAAGATGTTGACGTTCTTGGTGAACTTAGAGCTTTGATGGATCCCTCCTTGCCGAAGCCCTCCCAGCCAGCAGAGGCGTCCTGTGTTATCCCATAGCACCCCAGAGTAGGACCTCTTACAGGGCAGGCTGGGTAAAGAGGACCAGGTGCGGCTATCCATGTCAAAGACTTCAAAAGCTTTCACCGAACGCTTACATTGACGCCCACCTGGAGGGCAAGAGATTTTCAGTAAAATAGGCTGACAGGCAGAGAGGGATCCACACATACACACACACACACACACACACACACACACACACACACACACACAAGAGACATCCTTGAAATGCTCTGACAGGTGGAGAGAGACACACCAACTCACACACAACAGACAGTCTCTGAAACGCTCCGACAGTCATAACGCCACACATTCACACACACACTCCACCAACCTGCTACGTATATCTTGGATCCCTGAAGGCAAATGCTGGTATCGTAGCGGGGAGTGGGCATGGGGGGCAGAAGGGCCCAGACGTCCTTGCGAAGGTCGTACTGCTGCAGAATGCTTCTGGGCAGGAGGTCTGCTCCCATTCCCCCAACAGCGAAAGCTCTGCCATCTGATCAGACGCACACAGGGTATAAGGTTTTACCTTCTTCTGTCTAACAACCAAACTACAAAGCACAAAAGGGAGCCCAGTAGATCAATTATATCTGCTAATTTACTAAATTGGGCCATTTGGACCTTCAGTGATTAAAATCTGCCCTGAAGTTTTAATCAGACGCTTTCTGACACCTTATTTAAAGTATATACGACCTGTTACTTGAAGATATTACATTGCAGATGCTCTATTTGGCAAGTAGAATTATCACACTCTATCACTAGTCAAAGTGACATTTTTGACCAATTTATAGACAACAAAAATATCACAAATATTTAAGCCATTGACCCTTTGAAGCCACTGAAGCAGCGGTAATAACAAAAGCGTGTTGTTTTAATTATTTCTCACTCGCAGCTCATTGAAACAAGTAAAGAAAATCTGAAGAAAGTGCAGTTTTTGAACTTTTTTTTTTAACTAAAAATTAATTAATATTTGTGTTTGTTAAGATCTGTGTATGCAATTAAAACAATGAGATAGTTTATTATGATTTAAATATGATGAAGAGCTGCAGGATGGACTGCCCACCCCAGGGCCCAGACCTCAACATCACTGAATGTGCTTGGGGTTAATTGGATTGAGAGAAGCAGAAAATGCAACCGTTTTCTAAGACTGAATTTGGAGGTGTAGAAAAATATCCCTGTAGATTTCTTTGATAAACTGAAAGTGAGTGTCTAAAGAATGGAAGTTGTAATAAAAGCAAAATGTGGACAAACTAAATGCTGAAAAACTGGACTGATATTCTATTTATTTTTTAAGGCTTCTGCGTAATTTTCTGTTATACGTTTTCTGCTTATTGTCTGAAGCTGAAATAATGGCCACTTTGACTGGATATTCACTAAATGAAGGGTGGTCTCTGACTTTAGCTCTGCAATAATAACTCTTGATTTCTAAGGGTTAACTGGTTATCTATTTGTCCCTGCTGGATTCTAAGCTCAACCTGAACCTTCCCATTCTTGACTGTTTCAGGGAATTCAGTATTAGGCAAATTGCTTTCACACAGGCTTTACATCAGTGAACATACTAAGATTGCTTCAACAACCTTTAACAGTAATGGAGACTCCCATCAGCTCTTCCCTCAGTGAACACCTCTTCCTCCACTTGCCCTCCTCCGTGTTGTACACCTCCACGGCCTTCAGGGGGTGCTGGTCCTTTCCCACACCTCCTACCACCAGGAGCTGCTTGTTCAAGACTGCCACTGCAGCCCCTGCTCTGGCGGTCGGCATGGGGGGCAGGCTGACCCACTGGTCTATCTCTGGGGAGTAGAGCTCCAAATAGCTGGTGGGTCTTCCAGCAGCATCACAGCCCCCCAGCATGTACAACTGACCTCCCACCTCAGCCAGTGAGTGGTAGACACGCCCGCTGGAGAGGCGGGCCAGGCTCTGCCAGTGGAACTCATGGGCCGAGGGCACCGCCATTGCCCCGACCGATCACGGTGGCTTCTCAGCAGCGGGAAAGCGGCTTCGTCAGCGAGCTAAAGGGATGAGAAAGATGTCAGTAGGGCCAAGATTCATGTCCTGTATAGTGTTTGTCCCAAACTAGAGCTGCATGATATTGGGAAAAGTCTCGATTATGATATCTAAATTATGATATTTTAGGTTTTGTGATAAATGCAAAAAGCAAATTACACCTATTCCCAAATTATCACTCTTTCAATGAGAAGGGTGCATTTAAAGTAGGAGTAAAAACAACATTCTGGTTAACTTGATGTAACTATTTTATTTGTTGACCCTTTTGAAAATATATTGCTACGTAGCGCATCTGCTGTATAACGTGCAATATATTAAAATACATTTGGCAACCTTTTGTGACATAATTAAAGATTGGCCTACATTGTTTCAACAAAAATAATTATGTTTGTTGAATCACATGAATACCTTGATTCATCAAAGCAATCTCAGAGACACATCTGAAACATCTGAGGCTAGTCAGAATGCTAATAGCACACAATAAAGAAGTCTTGTGATCTGTTGTAACTTGCATTTTGCAGTTTCTGATATCAGCTGGGGCCTGACCAATATATTGGATGTTGGGATGTAAATTTTGACAAATTCTTACTATATAACTAACTGTTATTATTAATATTATTATTTGCCTAAGTTAACTGATGACTGGGGATAGCTTGAAGTTCATATGTATAGTTTAACCAACAATCAACATAAAGTTGGTAGTCTGCAGCTTTAAAGCTCTTTTAACTGCATAGGCTTAACATTAGCTAACAAACACATTTGTAGGCTATAGCTTAAGGCTACATTCAACTGAAGCAAAAAGAGTTGTGACTGTATCAGTACCATGTGGCTAAATATTCTAGCTGTGACAGTATTGCTACGTTTAGGATGGTGTGTTCTCTGCCATATCCTTTTATCAATGGCTCTGGAACTAACAGTTAAAATTAAGGAGTCAACTACATTTGGGCTGAAAGATCAATCGTTTTTATATCGAAATCACAATTTGAAAGAATGCAATTTTCAAATCGCAAGAGCTGCAATTTTTATTATAGTCTTACGGTCTATTATCAATAATGTTGATGCGATGCAAATTTTAAGTAGGGAAATTTTACCTGATAACATGCAGCTTGTGAACTACTGTGTGACATCACAACAACAAATAACTGGCCAGCTGGTGCACAGGGTTATCACTAAATTTGTCCCTCAGTTATAAACAATTGCAATTTGAATCGTAATCGCAATATTGGTCAGAAAAATCGCAATTAGTCGAAATTGTGAGAATAATATATTATACTATACAGAAAACTTGAACTAATTAGAATATTGGGCCTCACTGACCAATATCTTAATAAGTTCTTTCTTAAATTTGTTTGAGGAAGGTCCTAGAAAAAAGTCTAGTCAAGTTTTTAAACCGCAGAACTGTTCACACCTTTGTGCTTTTGAATGTGCATGGATTCTGTTTTTAGCTGAGAACAAAGCCCAAATAAAAAAAAAATATTTCTTAAAAAAATTTCTTCTTCAGAACGTTTGGTGAATGACGCCCAATAAGAGGTGATGAACAGAAACCGAAAACACCCCCACGACTACAATATATTATTTACAACTGACTTTTTTTTTATTTAACTGATTTGAAGTGTCATATCTGTCAGCATTTGTTTAACTAAAACTATCGGAGTATAAATTTTAAATCTAAAATATAAGTATATTAAATTTTATAGGGCAATATTATCAGTTATCAGAATGTTTGGCCCCCTAATATCGGTATCAGCCCTTAATGTTTCATGTTGGTTGGGTCCTAATATTTATATTGCAAAGGCCAGTATCTCAATAATGATTAACAAACAATGTATCATGCAGTCCTGGTTCAAACACATTCCAAGCATGCTTAGAAGTCTATGGGCAGGATTAGCAATTATTAGCCATTTAGTAATGTGCTGTTTAGTTAACTGTATCATTCACTATGGAATGTACTGAGTCCCTCATATCTCAGGACAAGTAGAAAAAATTCAATTTATTTTCTAGCAAATTGTCACTTAGAAGGTCTGTGCACATTCCTGACACATTTTAACAGATACAGACAAATCTCGTGGCATTAAAGGGATAAATCAATATCCTGCTAACTGTGACATAGACATGTCACTACAATAGACTTTATTCACTGCAAGCCTCAATGCGACTGAATCATTCCACCATTCAACCTACCTAGACTCTTGTTGGCCTCTTCAAATTATATTCAGGCAGAGGCACAGTATATATATTTACCAGCTATTTCCCATTCTTACTCGAGTGTAGAGGAAGTGACAGAGAGAGAGAGAGAGAGAGAGAGAGAGGGAGGGAGAGAGATAGTGAGAGAGAAATGGAGGAGAGCCCGGAACAGCATGGCTGTTGATGCAATCGATTTTGCACGGCTGTTCTGCTGTGGCCCTCTTCAGCTGTGTACACAATTAGCTTGAAGTAGGCTGTTGTACCACAGCTTAGCATCCATCAGTAACCAAGCAACCACCTTTTCCACCTCCCTCACATCTCCCTTATTCCCTTGCTTACACTAAGCAATGACTCCCTTGTTTTCCCCTTACAAGGACACCTACAAGAAGAGGCATCAAAGGAATACACTAATTCCACTGAGCCCTTCGCAAACCAGCGAACAGCGTCATGGATTTCTCATTACAGCGACGCCATTTCAGCAGAGACCCTCGCTCTGTTAGCATGACATGGCACCAGGCTTCGGCACTCATCAAAGTCAAACCTAATTAATATTGGATGGTGTGTTCGGCTCTGAACCTAGCCTACTGAGGCACCGAAGCAGCTTCGCGGGGCTTGGCTATGTGTAAACACATGAGGCAAACATCCATTCGTATATTCCCCCAACTGCAAAGTCTCGCGTCAGTCTTTGCCTTTTAGGCAGATGGCGGGTCCCAGAAGGGCTTCACCGAAAACTTGATTACCGAATAGACACGTTTGGCAGCCGTCTTTGCATTGTGAGCCATCTAATTGTACTGTAATAATGATTTGACTAGCTTATTACAGGTGGAGAGCTCTGGGCCTCTGGTGATTGAGTGAGAGAGTGTTAAGTACGTAGGGACTCCTGCAAGTGGCGAGCACTTAATCAAGCTCAATCATGCTGTAAATGAGGTGGGCTCTCTCTCTTTCCCTCTCTCTTTCATACTCTAAATCTCCCTGTCTCTTACTGCATGGCAGAAAGACTGCCATTTTCATTTTCCAACATGTAACGCCGCCCCAGGTCCAACGGCTGACAGGACACGAAGCTTTTAATCCGCTCTTAAACGAAAGTCATTTTGAATCCGGAGAAATAGACTCTCATCCAATTAGCCACTGATATTCTGTCAGACCTGTGAAAAATTCTGGTGATGCTTTCAAAGCCCTTCAAACAAGATTATCAACGAAGACTGAAATATATATATCGCGAACACCAAAGAAAGCGCAGTTGCTGAGGGTATTCTGAGATGCAAATGGACTTTCCGAGGCAGAGGCAGATGAGTACGCCGGTCCCCGTGGGTCTGGCCCTCTGCTTTTCTTAGCCACCCTTTGTGTTGAAGTCCCAGACATTCACCATGGACTCTAACTATCTCCCTGATCGTTTAAAGGCAAGCTGTCGTACGTTTCATCCACCAGGAGACAGCGACATAAAAGCAAGCTCAAGGAAAGGGACGTTTCTCCTGACTCCTTTTCTTTTCTCCTCCCTGAACTATGCAGAGGTGGGTTGCCATAGAAACAATGAGCAGGCCCCATTTTCTTTGGCGCGGAAGCCATGGCTAGTTTAGTTTTAATAATGGATTAACAAATAAATAAGGACCATTGTTTTTTCTTTTCCTTCGACCGGGGCAGGCGTTCTCTAGTTAACGAACCGGAATTGCTTTCTCCTGGCATGCCTCGCAAAGCACATTAATTGCAATCTGTAACCGATTTGCTTCGCCACTTCTCTCTCTCTCTCTTTCTTTTTTTTTAATTAACTGCTTGAACAGCTTGAGATCAACAGTAGGCCTATGAGCGCCCACGGAAGTCATTTACAATCAGCTCAGATCCCTCTCAAACTTTTAATTAGTTAGTTAGTCCTCCCCCCCCTTTCATAACTTAGACCTAACTTTGGGTCTAATTTCATCCTTTAACTGAGCTAATAGCTATATATATGATCCAATGGGCTTTAGTTGAACGCAGCAGTTAAAGTGCTTTTGTCGTCCCCTCCTCTGGGTCCGTGCTGCACGGTAGGCACTCATTTATTGACTTCCATTTAATTAGCCTCCCAGTACTCAAATACTGCTTACTCTCAAATCCACACGCACGCACTACTCAATCAGAGCACTGCAGTCAGGGGACAGAAGCAGTGGGTTTTATTGGTTTATCTCTGCAGCGTTTTTGTAGTTCTATGGAGTCTTCTTCAGCAGGCTGGTTTTCTCTGTACTCCATTTAGTGTCAATATGAGACGTCCATATTTCACAGTAAGGAGGGCTCCTATCTGTCTCGTACAACACTGGTACAGTCAGGCGTCCACTATTATAGTGCTGCCTGCTGATGTTGCATCAGACGAGGCACGGTCTGTTTAGACTGGACAGCACAACATTACCAATTCTCATATTCTGCTACTGGCAAGTTTTTTTTATTTTATAGGATTTATTCAACTGGGACAATGGCCATTTACTAACAGAAGAGTAAATGTGTCAGAGTTAGCCAAACTCTTTGCTTTCCTCTGCACTACTTCATCTGGACAGGTTGGGAAAACGCCTGACTCAACAATGTCTGTTCGACATTTACATTTTGGCTGTGGTTTTTTGCTTCCGCTCCATATTCCAGAGCTAAGCAGTAAGCAATGTTTTGATTAAGAGGACGCCATATTCACAGTGAGTTTGAAGTATTGATTCTTTTGCAGCAACACTTGCTGAAGCCTCATAATATTTGTAGCTCAGGTAAATACTTTAATGCACTCCAGAGGGATGAATAAGCACTCAGGTAAGTTGTTTAGCAGGGCAGCTGAACTCTGAGACCTACCCTTCTGGCTCCAGTGCCTCAGATGAGCAAACTGCATTTTCACTTTCTTAAATTATGTCATGACCCAATTTCACTCAAGATACTGACATCCCCTCCTTCCTTATTTGAAGCGTGGAGCGTTTTGACACCAAAGAGCAAAGGGGCTCTTTTTGCACTGTGTTGCTGGCTTGTTGTGCTGGGTCAGTGACAACTGTAGCAGAGCAGATCATTTCCATAGCAACCCTGAATTCAGTTCATGAGTGCATGATACTGAGCACACGGTGCCAGCGCCATCTTCAGCGATCCACATATACAAATGAGCCCACATGCATTTCATTACCACTGTTACCGTTCGCTTTCTTTTGATGTGCGGATGCGGCGGCCATTTTCCGCACTGTTATTCTACTGCTTTTTTGTTTTATAAGGATTGCGTGGGTGGGATATTAAATATTCACATGAACACCAGGCATAACACTGCATATGGGGGCGAGACCCCGGGGTGTCTGTTACCAAAACAAATGCAGCTTTTTGAACATTGGAGACAATTAGCCAGTTAGCATCGCTTGCACTAAAAGATGAGCTATGCGATAGGTTTAATTTGAAAAGAATGCCCTCCAAGCAGGATGAATTAGTATGCATGAGCTTGGTATTTTGGACTAATCAGATGTTTCGCAGAAAGTAGGCCTGCAACTTCTGTAACTTGATGTAGGTACTGTACTGGATCTCTGACACAGTCTAAAAAACATGAGCAAAACTTGCACCCATATATTAAGCCAAAGCAAATGTGCCAGTAAGAATCGCTGCATGATCAGCTCAGTCAAAATGTAGGTCACCAAAGAAGTTCTGCACTATTGATTCCTTACCTTTATCAAATTAATTGTCAGAATGGCTCCTGCGGAAGACCCTTGATCAGAGACCATGGCCTGGATTCAATTATCAAGGTTTTAAGATCCCATTTGAATATAAATGCCAAAGAATAATGGGACGGCGAGAAAGAGGATGGAATGAGTATTCAAGAAGAAGATTACAACTGGGAGCCAGGGATAAGTTTCTCTAAAGCGCCAACCCAAAGGCCTTACAACTAATTGCTATGGAAATGCCTTTGTACAAGAGGAATGAGTTTAAGGCCCATGGATCCTCAATCAGCAGAAACTGCTTTTCCCTGAGGTATTTCTAGAGACCAGTATGGTGGAAATCACTGAAGCTCAACTCTGAAACTTGGCAGGCTGTGACTGCACCAGACAGCTAACATTTGGAGCTGGTGGACGTATGCACAGTATAGCAATTTCAGTCTTGAAGACTACCGAGAAGCAAGAGATGATCGGTGATGTGGGACAGTGGACGAGATGCCCGAAAAGCATAATATTCCTTCTTTTAAATGCTCTGAGAGAATACAACGGTCTGCTTGCAAAGTAGGGTAACCTTTAACAGACATTTATCAGTTGTATTTCAATGACCCTGGCGTTATGACTGACAGCATAAAGAGGCATTGACCTTTCTGCTGGAATAATGCAGTCCACATCCTCTTCGCTGACATCATGGCCAAAAGTTTGACATGCTGCATCTGGCAGAGACTCTGAACTTGTTTGGGACGCAGCTAGCCTGCTGTTCCGGTCAGCAACTGCTGCATTTTATTAAACGGTTTAGAGCTTAGAGGGTTATATCAGGGTTGTATTAACTCCCAAGAGGAACTTTAAATAAACTAATTTAACGAAGACCACATTAACGTGTCATTTTACCTCAGATATACTGGCTAATCAAGGCTGGCTAACAGTTCACCATGAGGCGACCGTTAAAACGGTTAGAAACCTCCCCGTATTTAAATTTCAAAAACAAACAAGCATTTTAACGGCTCTCCAGAGCTTCCACACAGTTACTGCTGTACTCACTCCGGACACCGTCGGACTCTCCGGTAAGGGATAAAAAGAGCACTACGGACACATATTTAGCCGGATTTTATGCCCTCAAAACACGCTTGAACGTCTGAAAATGCTGGCTAATCACTTACTTTTCGTTCAGGGACCGTCTTCCCTCCGTTCTCCTCCTCAGGCGATTCCTCGTGGCTGTGTGGCGAAGAGTCCTCGCTTGTGAAGAGCTCCGAGAAGCAGGACACTCCCTTCTCCGGTCTGTGCTTTCTCTGTTTTGCTTTTGCTTTTTTTCCCCCTCTTATTGTCATTTGTACCCTCGGAAAGCGACCGAGGGACAGGAAACTGCTTCTCCACGAACGCACAGCCGTGCGAGTCTCATGTCGTTCGCTCCTTTTCCGCCTCATATGGGTCACATTTTGAAATATTCATCCTCAGCCTTTTCGTCACGGCCGTCACTCAGGCATACAAGGGGGTCACATTCGTCTCTGATAGTAGCGTAGCCGTCACTTTTTTAGGCTCTAAACGCCATTTTTTATATTAAGGCTTTAATAAAGTAGAAAACAGGCTACTGCTATGAATTTTCACTCCTTTTTTACAGTTCTGCTGCACTTATGGAAAAGTCAGACATCAACATATAGCATATAACAACATATAACTACTGTAAGTGCCCATACTGAAATCTGATATACGGCAGTTGGTTTTAAATATATGACATATATTAGCATATATCCTTTATATCCAACTTATATTTGTCACATATGGACATAATATGTCAACTTATTTGAAACTGGCCATTTTCAAATATGGGACATATATTTCAGCCGTAAATCAATATATCGTCGCTGTCCAAATTAAAACAAGTATCTCCAAAGTAGTAAGTTTACAGGGGAGGGCATAGTTGTTTTTTACTTTCAATGGAAGTTCATGTAAAAAGGTTTTATTCCAAGTGTTTCTGGAGCATTTCTATTGGTCCATTCATCCTGTAAAGGACAGCTGCTGAGCTCAAATGATGTTGAAATATAAAAATAGGCAAAACTGGAGATACATGATTTTCTTCGGACGGTGATGATATGCAAACATATATGTTTAACAACATAGGATAGAAAACTATTCTTATAAACTATATAAATGAATGGCATATATTACTTGTATATGCTAACTACATGTTGTATAAAGTTTTTATGCATCTTTGTTTCCCCCGCATACTTCCTAATCGAATGAAAATTAGTATAATAGCTACATAACTAAATTCTAACAACATGCACATTGTAAGCTATGCAATAAAAGCATTCAAATATTAAATAAATAAGAATATTGCTCCCAGACACAACTGATATACAGATACATGTTTTTCTTTGGACAGCGATGATATGCAAACATATATATGTTTAATAACATAGGATAGAAAACAGTATTCATATATGAATGGCATATATTACTCGTATAGGCTAACTACATGTTATATAAAGTTTTTATGCATCTTTGTTTCCTCCGCATACTTCCTAATTGAATGAAAATTTGTATAATAGCTACATAACTAAACTCAAAAACCTGCACATTGTAAGCAATGCAGTAAAAGCATTCAAATATGAAATAAATAAGAATATTGCTCCCAGACACCTTAAAATAATGCAATATTTAGAAGCAAACGAATAATTAAGTAACATTTATAACTGTGCCGGGATGTATTCAACCATGTATCAGATATATATCGCTGTTGTTGGAAGAAAACCTTATCTCCAAAAATGATAACTTTACAGGAAAAGGAAAAAACCTACTTTACTTTTAATGTAAATCAGTGGAACCAGACTTTTTTCCAAGTTATTTTGGGATGTTTGTTTTGGTCTATTCATCATAAAATTTACACACACTGTAAAGGCCAACAGGCATTTTCAAATTATATCAGAAACTAGAAAACGACAAAAATGGAGATATGAAGTTTTCTTCAGACAGGAGCGATATGTATGATTTATAAATTATGCATAGCCTGTATGTCCAATATTTGATGCTCCAATATGTGATGTGTATATATGGCCATATATCAGATTTGGGTTACTCATCCAGAGTGAGGATGAACATCTTGTGATGTATAATTTCTATAGGATTTGTTCATCTTCAGAGCCGCCCTTCATACAGATTGGGCGCTTTTCATGAACAGAGCTGTATGCTGTGTTTGCTTGTGCATGAAACTGGTTCATATCCGTCCAAGTGATTCCTCTGGGCTACAGTCCCCTCAGTACATCAGCCTCCAGCATGCCCTACATTTGCTCTACCACTCCACAATGTGTGTCCTTGCTGTAGCATGCCGAGACCACTGGAGAGCTAACCTGCATGTGCTGATAACCTGAGAATGGTAATTACTGAAGAGGGCCTGCTTCAAGAACATCTCTGATAAAGCATCCAACAAACGTGTGCACACACACACACACACACGCACACACAGTTTGGGGAGCAGGTGTGATATCTTGACACCGTCAACCATCAGCTCACAGCTTCCTGCAGAGACGCCTAGCTAGGTACATATGCATCAATTTTGAATTGATTCAAAAGCAGACCACGCTTCACAAGCAAGCGGGCTTGGAAGACAACACATTCACAATGCAGAGAACACTATCTGCCTCAAGCAAGGTTTGAAGTGTGAAGGGCATCTTTTTAAGTCTGCAACTTTGATCATTGAAGCGAACAAGACAGAATCAGAGAGCGCAACATCAATCGTTGGCCGATTCCACGTCTGTGTGAAGATGCTGGAAGTACAGCATTATCCATTTACCCGTAGCAGAGTTCTCACTCATGAACTTGGGAAAGTAGGCTGTCGGTTACTTTAAAGAAGCCTTTCATGTGTGTGGGATTCATGGGGGTGGTGATTATGATGGGGGTTCAATTTATACGCCTAATTAAAAAGTTGATCTGTGATAGCAATCTTGGAAGACTGCTCAGAATAGATGTGTGGGCAGAGATACTTATAGACATTTCTAAAGATGCCTATATATGATATATACTTTTTAGCATTGTTGTTAGACTGCCTAAGGAGCTGTAGCTCATAAAGAAGGTTACATGCGAGAACACTGAACAGTCTAGCATTGTTATCAAGCTCCAGTTAGGACATTTGGCCTTGTTTCCATGGGAGGACTCCAAGGACAACCACATTGAAAAGATTTCCTTGATTTTCATATAGAAAATGGGTATTTTGCTTTTCACTTTGGCTGAGCTTATTTGTGATCACAATATTTCCAACATAATAAGAGCATATTAAAGCAGCACTATGTAACATTTGGGGATTTGGAGACCTCTCTGGTGGAAATGTGTAATTGCGTGCATGCTTTTCCACCATTTACAGGCTTTAACGTCTGTCCGGCGCTGCTGCCAGAAGTAATGCTGAATGATGGCCGATCTGAGCGTTCACATTGCCACGAATCAGATATGTATCCGATCTAGGACCACATATGAAAGTGGCTCAGGTCGGATTTGAAAAGATCGGTCACATTAGGGCAAAAAATCGGATTTGTGCCACTTCGACCAGGTAATTTGAACGTAGTCTTTGTATCATCGGTTGCACTCCAGACATCCAGGAGTGAATGAATCTGATGATTGTGTGTTGAAAGAGCATTCAAAGGGAACTCAGCCAAAACTTGGTGCAGGACGTTTCTTTTGAGGGTGGAAGTGAATTATTCAGTCATCGTATCTTCATCTGTATAATATTGATTTTGCATTTGAAACCTAAGCATCGAGTCGGACCTTCTTTCTGAGTCAGTGCATGTGACTAATGCATAAAGAAGTGTGACGTGGTTTGAAAAATGGTGAAATTCATCCCAACACCCCTCACTTTTAAATGATTATTTCAGGCTTTACTGGTCGACTAGTAGCAGTTCACACGTACCATATTTTAATTTGTTTTTTTTTTCCTCACTCAGTAATGCTGCTTCGTTCAGTTTAACAAAAAATGTATTTATATATTTAGTATATTTATTAGTCCATTACTGGTAATAGTAGTAATTCAGAAAAAATATAGTAATCTGTTTTATTGAAACATACACACTGTCTTTGGACTCCCTGCATGGATATAAAGTTGGGTTCTCTGACTGCTACCCATCAAAATTAGATGATAGTTTTCATAACCTTCATGGGCAATGTATCAAGCTGAGGATGAAAACTAGAGTTAATTAGAGAAATGCTTTTCAGTGGAGCTAAGAGAATAACACATTCTGTGGAACTTGATTGCCTATTAAATTTCCAATCACAAAAAAATTAACATACTGCGTAATTAGCCTGCATGGGATAAAATGGCTAAGAGAGGCCATGGGGTGAAAAATGTGTTGCTTTTTGATGATCACTTTCTGTAAGCTTCATCTTCAGAGTCAGTGCTTCATCACTTGATAAATGTTCCCTGCTAATTTGCTGCTGATTTAAGCAGTCCTTCAGATTCCTTGAGTTTGTCTGAGAATGCAAGCTTTCCCTCTCCGTCCATATCTGGGCCTGAACCGAAAAGAACTTCTGTGATTTATGCCGTAATTTAATATATTATCTACAGTAAAATACAGAGGATGCAGGAGGCCTATACAGTACCTTCCCCCAGGGCGCAAAGGGAGATGTTATTAACTGCTAGTGTCTGCTAGAGAACCTACGGTATGACATCCTTGAATCATAGCCATGGTTTCGAAACCACTCCTGCACGTGTCCATGGAGTCCATGCAGTAATGTGTGCACTGCTGGTTTTATTGCATTGGGTTTATTATTTTGTCATAATATCGATTGTAGGGGATGTCTGAAAAACACTTCAGCTCAGCACTTTCACTGTGGACTGCTGAAACCTGACCACAGTCTGTTTGTCAGTCTGTGTTTTGAATGAACGATCTGAATGACCAGATCATAATTCATTGCAGTCACTGTAGATTTTTATTATAACACAATGTTGTACATTTAAATTTACAAGTTGTTTTACTGTAATAACACTGCAGTATAATCAATATTATAATTTTATGTTACATTAACTTAACAGCCATTAGTTGATTGAAAGTTACTGTAAAAATCGTGATATAAACTAGAGATGCACTGATACTGCTTTTTCTCTTCTGATACTGAAACCGATACCAGGGGAGGTATTACAGAAAAGTCTTAAGTCTGAGATCATGTCTTATCTGCTTTGTTGTCATGGCAACTTCAGTTAAGACTGAAGTTAGGACAGAAGCTATTACAGAACAACAGTTCTTAAGTCTATAATCTTATTTCCAGATAAGAAAATGGTTTTACAGAAACATCATAAGTTGCCAAAATATCCTAAATATTTTCTTAACTTTAAGATAAACTCCAGAGCATCTTAACTTCTGTTTATTCATCTGTTTCTATTGTTTTATGCCGTGAAAGGCAGCACAGTTTACTATAAGCAGCATAACA